TTCTTAAAACACTTCCAACAACCCGACGCTTCTTCGGAACGAATACAAGGAACAGGAAGCACGCATTTCTCACCGCCTTCTATGTGAGTCCTCGAATCGTTCCTACAACGATAACTGTCGAAGACAGGGAATTCTTCTTCTTCACATACACCAACGTAAACACGACATTATGCTCGACATTAATGTTTACATAAGCAATTCTTAAACAACAATTATCCATTGGATATGATTATGTTTGTGGGATTTTATTAATTAAGTGTATAACCCTCCAAATTACATAGGTGTTTCACTAGCCACAAAATTTGTCTTCATCCAATGTCTACTAAATATCTTCAAATCACTCTCTGATGCAACTACGTTATGAAGCTATGTGCGCATGTAAACAGCTATTGGTTAGTGCTGGGGTGGGAAGGGGAACCGGGGAAAATGACGCTGTTTTAAACACGGCGGCAGTTTATCGGATATTATACATTCAGAAATGTAAAAGTTATTTCGCTTTAAATTAATTTGTAGGAATAATTGTTCGTAAGCATTTCAATATGAAAAGGACTGCGACGGAAGACGCTATAGAAAGTTTCATATTACTATCCTGACATCTTCAATGACCGTCTAACTGCACCGGGTAGAGTCCTTGAGAAGTTTAAAATCGTTCGGATGATCAAAAAATTCTCCACCATGTAAGACACCCGAAGTTTCATTACGGGATTCACAAAAGCCCGCCGGTTACTGTAGTCGAACGGTTTAAGGTATGTACTGTATTCACTCGCCCGGAAGCCGGGATCGTGGGTTCAAATCCCACACAAGACATGAATGTTTGGAATGTGTACGCGTTTATTCTGTGCTTAGGTGGAAGCCTTGGGACGAGCCCATCACTCGTCCAAAGAGTCCTACCGTCTGTAAAATAATCATGAAACTGAAAAACCAGAGGCCAGGGCCCAAGGGGGGCTGTAGAGCCAGTGAAAAAAAAATTACAAAAGCCCACCATTGAACACTACACAGAGCCACAAGAATGTAGTTCACATCCTATGTCTTATTTCAAGTCCATTTTAACATTTACCTTCCACTTGCGGTGTCTTACCGACTTGCTCAAGAGGTAATGCTTGTCATGCTCTCATGAGTTGTCTAATTCAGACCTCGGCTGTAACACAAACTACCCTGACTCAGGATATTTGTTGTTTTCCTCAGTTCCCTCAGCAAATTCTAGGAGAGTACCACAACTTAGGACATAACCGCTTTCGTCTACATCCTTTCCATTTCACTGTTCAGTAATCACTCTACCATTTGAAGTCTGAGGCGCCTTTAGCTTCGTTGCATAGACCAGAAATAAACGCGAAATGGTCCATTCTCTTAGAGTTTCCAACGAAAATGATACATACACGTATATTCTTGTCTAGTCATGCTAATCAGATTCATTTGGACTCGATCACCCTAATAATATTTGGTTAAGAGTATTGTCCGTGTTTATAAATATGCCCTCTGAGTTGAGCGTGAGAATCAGCGGGACAGTGGTTTTAGTGGGAGCGAGACACACTGTGCTAGAGCTCACTTAGGATCCATGACATCTTGTTGCGACGCGCACACACCCAACACTCCTTATCTCAGTTAGCAGACCCGACCAAATCGACTGCGCATTCTGTTGAGAGCGGCCAAGTCTCTTTACAAACGATTACCAGCTTCGGACGGGTAGGCAGAGAGCGTGGAACTTGATATCGCAATAAGTAGAGCCATGTGTGGGAGCCAGCTGGTCCAGTGACCCGGCCCCTGGGGCAGTACTGCTGTTACTTGAGTCACTCCAAGACCAAGAACACGGTGCTCCCAACAGTTACTGCATGAAGGGCATATGTCGCTAAGTCAAGACACTAGCATTTGTACGGAGGCTTCTCAAGACTGGGAAAGCAGCCTCAGAGTAGAAGATTGTAGATGTGACGTCATGTGGACTGGTAGAATTTCACTGACGTTTTAGACGAACTTACTGCTTCCACCTGTGCAGGCCCAAGCAGGAAACGTCGATGTACTTCTACCGGACTGCATGGCGTCACATCCCAATAAGTTGTTCCCCTCAAGATTTGATATCTTATTGACCTACTTTCGTGGAACTGTACAGTGATAAATGTCGTAACATATGGACTGGACAGCCGAAGAACCGGGTTTCGATCTCCGGCATCATAGTATCCAGACGGCTTCTAGGCTCCCCCAGTCCACTATCTGGTGATTACTGATGGGTCTTATCCTGGCAACGGATTTCACAACAGTGTAGATTCCTCGGCTTCTGTCCAACCCTTAACTGAAATGGATCGCCATCTCTACTCAGTCTCCCTTGCAGATCTCAATGACACACAGTACCCAGCACTCACTAACTCTGCTGTCTCAGTTAAAACTACTTTGCACGGATCGAACAGAAAACGTCAATGTCAACAATAACCCCATTGTTGTAGACGCGTGTTTGCAGATCAGTTGCTTGGAAAAAGGTTGCGTAACTTCGTTGCTCTATTGTTGCGTGCGTGTTCATTTCTGCGGTAACATGCTTATTGAGCCGTTGCTTAGCACTGGACTTCACGTCTGGCCCCACTATTCCGGCCTAGTCTTACTCTTTCTGAATAGACGCCAGATGTAGACGGAATTATCCATGGCTCTTATTATTATTATTATTATTATTATTATTATTATTATTATTATTATTATTACATTATGATAAGCGAATTCTTCGGCAGAATGGGTACAACTTCTGATGCGAATTCTGGAGTTCCCGGATTAAGATCTCTACTCGACGGCTGACGGAATTTCCTCATATCCCACCACGAACATTCTTTCCACAACCTTTCCAATTAACTATTTATTCTTACGATTTATCGTTCGATGCTGTCGAACTTGAACAACTTACAGTGTCGATATATGAGCCGTAAACAAAAAGTAAATTCGTCCCTTTGTTTAATCAATTAAGCACCAAGCCATTAAGATGTATGGGGAGGTATAGCTCCACGTATTCTTGACCTCAGCACCAGATGGAGGTGAGTAGTCAGCTTCATTCTCCGGCCTCTTTATTCCCACGGAAAGAGCCCCCGGTATCCATTGTATAGGAGACTGGGTAGACCCCAGAGCCGGTCTGGACGACGTGGAGAAGAGACAAATATTGCTTCTGCAGGGAATCGAATCCCGACCGTCAAGCCCGTAGCTATACCGACTGAGCTATCCCGGCACTCACATGAACCATATTAATCTCCCCTGAAGACACGTGGCTTCTCTCCTTCTGCGACTTGACAGGCGCCACTCTGTTGATTTCCGTTTACTTCGCGAGTTGCTCTCTGAAATCGTCTGCAGTGGGAATGAGACTTGTGTCGTTCTTGGCCGCGGTGTCAGTGACTGAGGCAATAACGAGTACTGGGTGTGTCGACTACCGCGCAGCGTCTGAAGTGGGATCTGCCCAAGCCAGTATAAAACGCGACAAGGGCCTAGCCACTATCAGTTCTTTGCTCTGAGTCCAAAGAAAAGCAGGTCTGTTCATCACATCATGAAGGTCCTGGTAAGTGTAGCTTCGAGTGAAGGAACACTAGGCCCAACCTCTTAACTCACGAACGAAAGTGAAGGTAAAATTACCCTGTGATTAAACACCAACTAGGGGGGGAATGGAGGTATAGATCCATCCATTTTAACCTCCGCATGAGTGATCAGCTTCAAGTCGCGGTTGCTTTACCCTAAAAAAATAGGCCCAAGTACCCATTCGTTAGGGCGTTGGGTGGGCCCCAGGGCCGGCCTGACCTCTATGGAGAACAATCTCTTGTCCTGAACCAAATCGAACCCCGATTACTTGGTCGTACTGTCAGTTGCGTTATCACTATATGGACTGAGATCTACTACAAGAGCAAGGTCTGCTTTCAAACCAGAATTCCCTGTAGTATCCATGTTAGCGTATGCGAAAATTTTTAATCAACGTACATTTTAATCCCGAACTGAAAATTCACGGGGGCATGCGGTAGAGTAGCTGGATGAGGCACTATGCTGCAAGACGGAAGGTCTCAGGTTGAATCCCAACGAGGTCGTTGTCATTTTCAATTGATCTAATCCTTCCAGCCGCACTATGGCCCTGCGGTCGACTCAGCCTTTAACAGAAATGAGTACCAGGAATCTTCTTGGGGTTAAGGCGGGCGGCCTCACCGCCATCTGTGAGCCGATTTCTAGAAAATGTGGGATCCTCGACGTCTCACAACCCCATGGGCCTCCACGGCCTGTTATAGCGATAGCTTTGCCTTTTTTTACTGAAAATTCACATGCCACTTGGTTTATTTATGTTTTATCGATTTAAAACTGCATAGTTATCGTTGTATGCATTAAACGGTTGTCAAGCAAGGAAATATCAAATGACAGATCGCTTTTATACTGTAAAACCTGGTATAGTTGCACAGCAAGGCGAAAATAAACTGAAAAACGAAAGAGCTGGAGAGGGGGCGGTTTCTGTATGTATCTTTATTCTGGAGCTATGAATCAGATATACGCGTTACTTTTTCAGTTTGTTGTTTAACGACTTCGTCAGTATCTATATTATATAGCGCCTTAACATAGGGTGACTACAGAGTGCGGTCGCATTTTGTGCGAATTTGGAATAGTGCGGTATAAAAATGTATTAATAAAATCTCAGTTTGTGAGCAGAATTTTGAAATAATACGAATCCTCAAAAATATTCGGCAAGGCTCAGGCCTATGTTTCAAAATTTGTCTTGAATTATGCGAGGTATTCACGAACGCATTCTCGCATAAAATACGATCTCGCTGTAATGAATTTCAAACAGTTGGCGGAATGAGAATTGGCAAGGGAAACAGAAGTACTCCGAGGAAAAGTGCTCATATGCTTAGCTCACCACAAATCCAACATGAACTGACCTGAGGTCGAAAACTGTCAACAATTTATCGTATATATATGTTATTAACGGAAAATTATGGATAGTAACCGGTGATTATGTAGAAATGTCAGCTTCTTCTGCAATATGAGACTGTGCATACACCAGGATGGCTCATTTCTGCTGGTACAAATATGACATCACACAGAATCAGACATGTGCTCATGTATGTCACCAGGATATTCTCCAGGAGGGCTAGCCGGTTTAGTTTTCCAAATAAAGAGAGCCAAAAAAATGTATTTATAAATTACGACACTTTTATGGATCACCAGAAAATATTCAGGGCAGAAGAATTTATATATTTTTTAAAGAAATACATTTAATATTTAATAATAATAATTGAGGTACTCTTTTTCGGTTTTGCTTCTTTCCCCCGAAAATTACAGTGTTGCGGGCAAATTCCTCACTTTCTCCCACCTGCCAACAACTATCGACGTAACAGACACTACAAAATTTCAGTGAAATGTCTGACTGAAGATGTTTCCTTACAGTCTCCTTAGTACAGGTTAAATGTATTTTCTCCGAGAAACAATTGCATGTAGATAAACTAAGAAACGGCGTTGTTATAATATAACCTCTATATTACATCACTTAAATTTATGTTCCGAATTAGTTGTATAAGAACAAATGAATATAAGTTTTCTTTTGAGTTCATAAATTCGTACATAAAATCAAACATAAGAACTTTGAAATAAGCAGTGGGATCCAGTCACGACATTCATCCAGTAAAATTTCAGAGCTATCAAAGCAGCCATCTTTACACTCGAATGATCAGACGGTCTCAGCCGTCAAATTATGACAACGGCTTAAGAACTGTGTATTAAAAATCTCATCCATCATCCATGGGGACATCTGTTTTGTCTGCCATCGTGTGAATTATCCAGCCAAATACTGGGTTACCACTTCATATTCCCCCACGAACATTCTATCCACAGCATTTCAAAATAATTATTTATTGTTATATTTTGTCTTTCGGCGCTATCTAAATTGAACAACAGTGTCGTTAAAGGAGCCGTAAATAAACGGCAAAGTCGTTCTTTTGCTTCATTAATTAAACACCACGCCATTAAGATGTATGGGGAGGTATAGCTCCACATATTGTTCACCTCAACAACACATGGAGCTGTGTGTTCAGCTTCAGGCCCCAGCCGCTTTACTTCTACGGAAATAGTTCAAAGTATCCGTTGGATAAAAGACTGGGTAGGCCCCAGAGCCAGTCGGGGCGACGTGGAGAAGAGAAAATCTTGCACTGCCGGGAATCGAACCCAGGCCGTCCGGACCGCATCCTATCGCTATACTGACTGAGATATCCTGAATCCCAACATGTTGCTTAAAATGTTAGGAATTTCTTTAGTGGGTGAGCAATTATTGGTCTGTCAAGCAGGACACAGCTCCCTATGATTCGTAGGTTGTAGAGATCTGTACGTCTCTTTATTACTGTTCTCTTCTCAGGCTGTGTTCATCCTCGCTCTGGCCGTCGTGGCCTGCGCAGAAGAGAAGAAGGAAGACCAGAAGAGCGCTGTTCCTGCTGAGAAGAAGCAGGACAAACGTGGAATCTACGGTTTGGGATATGGTGCCGCCCCCGCACTGAGTTATGCTGCCCCCGCACTCGCCGCCCCTGCTCTGAGTTATGCCGCTCCAGCACTGAGTTATGCCGCCCCCGCACTTGCTGCCCCTGCACTTAGCTATGCCGCCCCCGCCTTTGCTCACGCTCCAGCTATCAGTTATGCAGCCCCAGCTCTCGCTGCTCCCGCACTGAAATTTGCCGCCCCCGCTCTTGCCGCTCCCGCACTGAGCTATGCCGCTCATGCTCCCGCTGCTGTAAGTACTCACTCTGTATCCTTGCTTGCTTTCAATATCTTGTAGCCACTTGTAGATCTTCAAATGACCTCTCAAAGAAGATTCAGAATTCTATATGCCCTCTTGTCAGAATAACAGGGGCAAGGTTTCAGTTTATCGTAGTGGTTCAACAACACGCGTTGTAGCCCGGTGAAAGTCAACCGACGTTTCGGAGGGCTGAAGAGAAATCTAAGCAGGAAACCATATCTGCTTGCTGCCTGATTTATGCTGATTTCTTTCTCGGCTTACTCTTCAACCCTGAATATGGAGGTGGAATGTTCCTCCGAAACGTCGATTGATTTTCAATGGACTGCATGGCGTTATATTCCATAAGACAGAAATGTTCATAGTTACTGCTGTTAGAACATCAAATCCTTTTATTTAACAGCAGATTCGGATACCAAGTCCAAGTCACGTTGCAACTGACGGTCCGTCAGTCTGTCTGTCTTGGTGTCGAGCCTCGGCTGCTGCTCATGACCAGACTTTTTTTTCTTATATGAAAGTTACTGTCTTGTTCATTTGGGGCGCCCTCTCTGACGGTGAAATTATGTACGATAACATGCGTGGGGAGTGTAGCAGGCGTGGAAGGAATGAGGAAGGGTGCAAAATATTACCCGAAGGAACCTAAATGTATGTGTGTATGGACTGGATTCAACCAACTTAAGACAGAGCCCACATGTGGGCTGTGTCTAACGTGGTTATAAACCTTCGAGTTTCTTAGCGGTCCTGAACACTCTCTCGGCAAATATCAGTTTCTTGATAAAGAATCCGGTACATGGAATTTAAGAATACAGAGTAAATTAAACCTATGTAAGGCATAACTTTGACATATAATGAATTACATATTTCAGATTATATATATATAGTTGCGTAATTTAATAAATTGCGTATTTCATAATCATATGAATTTATCTGAACCGTATGAGGAAGACTCCAAAACGATAAATGTTTTTAATCACAAACTTCCGTTTCAGATTAGCTATGCAGCCCCCGCAATTGCAGCCTCGCCTGCTCTTAGCTACCACCCCGCCCCAGTCGCCAGGGTTGCCTATGCCGCCCCAGCCATAGCTAAGGTAAGATCTTAAAACACTGATCTGCATATTTCGCCGGAACAGTAAGCCTAAGGGGCAGGTTATTCTATATGCATGGTCTGAATTTTCAGGTTGCCGCCCCCGTTGCATATGCTGCCCCAGCCTTTAGTAAGTTGGCGGCCCCTGCTTTGAGTCTCCCTGCCGCCTACGGTGGACTCAGTTACCTTCACTAAGTCATCACTCAGGTACGCCCCTTGCGTCTGGCTGGACAGCGCGAGTTTTCTGCAGTGTAGCTGCAGTTATCAGTACTGGGTCCAACATTAACAGCTTCCCCTGGCTACAACAATGTTGTCTTGTTTCTTATGTTACATTACGTCATGTTATGTTATGTTAAGGTATTTTGGAAAAAATTTACTGGACATTCAGTAAGGGCAAGTCCTTACTGAAACACAGAAAACAGATTTTTGTAGTAGTGACGATCCCGTAGACTTATATTCGAGAGATGCTCGGTTCGAACCTTGCCCGTGACAGCGACTATCCTGAACTGACAATTTTCGTTGTATTCCTCAGTCCCTCCAGGCAAGTGCCACGATATCCCGTCCATTATGCCACAACCACTTCCTTCATTATTCAGCCTAACTCTCAATCCTATATAGCAGATGTGATTAAACTGTGGTTCGCGAGACCAATGCCCTCTTTTAGAACGTTAATGTGGCTGACAGGAAAAAATATTAGTGAGCCTCTTTGTTACAAGTGGATTTAGTACAGAAAGTTCTTTATGTGGAGTGCTAGTACCCAAACATATACCTTCTATTTCTGTCTGTGGCTCAGATGTCCAGTAAGTTTGGTTACCCCTGATGTATAGTCCGAGGTATTGATAGTGTCATTAAATAAATTGTAAATAAATTAAATACAGAATAAGAAAGAGAGTTTGACGTTAAAGGATGGAAAGCAACTCTTCAATTAATTTGAAATATTTCTTCATGTTTTACAGAAATCCTCTACACGAACAACTTACCTCATTGGTCAAGCGACCCGATTTCAACGGATCAGTTGTTTTCTTCAGGCGTTATTTCTGTTTATTGAAAATATTAGTTTTAATTATTTCTTTTTTCTCAGGATCATTCATATATTTATTGAAATCAGATCATTTATTTTCTGATGCGTTTAACGTAATATAAATGTATGTAATACAGGTTATGTATTGATGATTCAGTGGTTTTAAAAATTGTCATAAGTTATTCAAAATTGATGTATTAAATTCTATATCATCTTCTTTCTGTCTATTGAAAAATAAATGATCATAAACCCATAATATATTTCCTAATTCGTGTATCCTCTCGAACTTGTACGTAGGAGTACATGCAGAATCTCTATGGAGCCACCGAGACAGCAAGATGATTTAGTTCGTATCGCAGACAAAACAGATGGCATATCGTGAGATTAGAGGTTCTCACGGGTGTCACTATGAATAACATTAACTTCTGGGATATGACGCCGCGTAGTCTGGCAGGCTTTACAAAACTTTTCTTACTCTCCGACCATGAAGACGGAAGCAGTACGTTCCTTCGAAATGTCGGTAAATTTAAACCAGACTACACGGCTTCACCTTCCAGAAGATATTATACTTTAGACATAATATTGGCTACAGAGACCAACCGGTTAATACTTCTCAGTTGCTGTTTATTGTGAGAATCACTCGGAAGACACAAACACACTGTGTGGGTGGAATACAGTTTTAAAATGGTACGCTAGTTGTACATAGTAAAAACTACTTTGTTTTAAAGGATATATTGAAAGATGAGAGCTGACTTTTCGCACTTTGAAATATGATCCGTCGATTAAATTGCTGCTGGCCTTAGCAACCACAGTCATTCCTAGCTTCAGTCTCCTAGAGCTTCATGACCAAGACTTTTGTTCTCCCGTAGACACGTACGTGTTTCGAAATGGGCCATCCTCTTCTGTGAAGGAGGGGTTGAAATATGAAGTTCGTATAAATAATATATACGAATTTAGTCCGTACCTCACAGGAAACACATTAAGTCTCCCCTACGGAGTCCAACCTGTTAATGCTGTTTGGGGAACCAATCGCTGTTTATTGTGATAACCATACGGAACACACAGCTACACTGTGTGGGCAGAATGAAGCGTTTCAGTATGTTAAAGCAGGTGGCACATGTAGAAATCACTTAAATATCACTTAAAATATTTCAAAATTTGTTTTTTTTTACGAATCTGCGTTTCTGTCTTGTCTCGAATTTAACTTATTGTGGACACAAACACGTTTCTTAATTTCTTTCCTCTTATCCATCTTGTGCTGAACTCTTGTAGCAAAAAACAGTACTAAGGCTCTGTATCTCGCAGCAATGTGCTATACATGGAACCTATTTTCTTTGGTTTTTCTTTTTTTTTATTTTCCCATAAATCAAAATACATTGATACAGGACTCGTCATGCAATAATACTATCAGTAAAACATACACAGGAAATTCTACAGGTAAACAATACATATAAATCATGCTTATCAAAACGAACTGCGAACAGAGTGCCGAGGAGAACATTTTGACCTAAGATGGAGGAAGTAACAGGAAGATGGAGATAAATGATGCTACTCGACCAGAGAATCGGGGCTTTATTGGCAGCGGAGGCAGATATCTCTTCTTCATCACCACAAAATCTTCTGCCCAATCAGTACGGAGACTGTATCACGAGGCGACAGTAAGCAGTCTCTCAGCTTGCCGTTTGCTTCTGTTTGTCTCTTGATTGGCTTACTCTTCAACTCTGAATATGAAATCAATATGTTACTCCAAAACGTCAGGTTGTATCCGAACTACGTTGTGTTACAACCCAGAAGACTGTAGTCATTTCCGCCGGAATCGCAAACCCGACATTGTAACTTAATTGGTTCGACAGGACAATCACTGCAGAAATCCATACAAATTACAAAACTACGTGTAAATATCCATCGCAGACCGGTCTGTATAAATACAGGGTGTCCGGATGAAAGGTATCCAAAATAAAATAATTATATCACAGAAAGCTTTAATTACACACATTTGAGGGTTACACCATTACAATGGGAAACGAATCAAAGTTNTTCCATCCGCTCTACGCTGCTGCCCCGGTTTCCTCGATCTTTGAACACCCTGTATTACTAATTATGAATATAATTTTTTTAAAATGAAGTATGATTTCGAATATTTCGAATATAAGCCGCACCCCAGTTTTCCTCTTGAATTTTTGAAGAAAAATGTGCGTCCTATACATACGTAAATACGGTATCCATACTTGAAGCATGTTTGGTGTTACCGTAGCCACAGCGGCCCTTATGTGGGCTTTCAGGTGTTGAAGCTCGTTGATCTTAGCCTGGTAGACAATGTTCTTTACATAACCCCACAAGAAAAAAACCCACTGGGGTTAAATTTGGCGACTTAGGAGGCCAAGCGATTGGTCCGCCTCTGCCGATCTATCTCCCAGCCATCTCTCTGTCCAGGTGATTCCTAACATGGTGGCAGAAATATGTGCGGCGTGTGTGCATAAGCCGGGCATGAAAAAACAAAACTTTCAGAGTTTTCTTTTCCGATGACATAAAACGTATACGTGTATGAAAATTACTTTCTGAGATATGTATTTTTTTTATTTTGGATACATTTCATCCTGAAGCCCTACATGAAGCGAATGTTTCAAACCCAGACATCACACGTCAATACAGTGTTATAATTATGGCTGGCACATTGCGACTTCACACAGTTTTGAGTCACGTAATTGGATACTGCAGAATGCACTTAGGGGGATCTTTTGAATGCTGAGAACTTAAGAAAAACACTTAAATTTATGAGACAGGAAACTCTGGTGGTTTCACTTCGAAACGACTTTCATCACAGATAAAGCAGTCTCCTCAAAATATAGGTAGATCATAGTCACTTATTTAAAGTCAACATATGTTCTGCTAAAGGTCAGAACACTTGTGATGTATCACCTTTTTTTTTTTGCACACAATATAATTCATAAATCAGCGATGACGTCTTCTGGTTATGTGTTTCCCACGGCTATTCATAAATTTCTTTGATAAAGGCCACTGATAGTTCCAATGAAATGTCAAGAGATGGCATGATAATTTACTTTCAAACATCAAACACGTTCAGCGCGCAAGTCCTGTTTGCGTAATCTTGTTGGCCAATGGGAGCACACGTGAACTGCGTATGCAATTCATTTGTTACTTATTTGTTGTTTGTTTACGGAAACCGTCAATAATTCAGACTATGTACAGTCGAGTGGTTAGATAATGATGAACAATGATTTGTACGGGTGTGGAAGTAATCGATTGTGGCCTAAGTTGAGGTACGAATATCACGGGGCATATGGCCACAAGAAATGAGGAAAAACACGATATTCTAAGTCAATATAGTCTGTGTTTCGCCATAGATTCGAATCGGATACCTACTGGATACAAGGTAGAAACGTCATCGTTTGGGCCAACTTGCTCGGTGCATATAAAATGTTAGTACGAAAATTTAAAGTGATGCGAAGATAATATTAAAATGTATCTCAGAAGTATAAGGTACATGAAAGTGTGAAACTGTAAACATGCTAATGAGCTGTTTTGATAAAAGGAGGGATTCTTCTTACCAGCTAAACAACTGTCAACTCCTCAACATGTAGTCTGTCCCGTGGAGACAGCATGCGGCAGAAGAGGGAAACTGTGCATCGGCTTTAGATTAGGTTGCCTTCAGAAAGTCTGCTCAAGCATTAGCGTTCAAATCTCTACCATGATTTGGGGATTTCATAGTCTTCCTCAGTCCCTACAGGCCGCTTCCTTCCATATCCTTTCAAATTCATTTGCCTAATCATTCTACCGCCGGTCACGGTAGCCGATCGGTCTGAGGCATGTACTGTCTTCGCTCGCTTGGAAACTGGGATCGTGGGTTCGAATCCCACTCAGGCCATGGATGTTTAGTTTGTGTGTCCGTTTTTCTGTGTTTGTGTACAGGTAGAGGCCCCGCGACGAGCTGATCACCCGCCCAAGGAGTCCTACCGTGTGTGTAAGATCTAGAAAAACCGAAGTGAACGGAGAAGTTCATGGAGGTAGGCCTAGGCCCACTGGGGCTGTAGTGCCAAGGAAAAAAAATCATTCTACCATTTGAATGTGTAGAGTTATCGATAGTATTGTTAAATAAACAGACGAATTTCTTGTGTGGAGGAGGGTTAGAATACCTCCACCATAGCCCTGCGAGTCGTACAAGGCGACGAAAATGGAACCAGGTGCATGGGGAATATAAATGCAGAGACCTGGTCCTCCACGTTGGGGGTTTGACGCAGGGCCGACGACTTTGCTGCGTAGAAAAATTATTGTTGCGAAATCCAAACAAGTGAAAACTGAATAGCCTACAAATCTGGCAAACGGCTGTGGCTCAAAAATGGCTGTTTTCCCAGTGATGTTCTTTATGATGATGATGATAATGGTGATGATGAAAAACGTTAATGCAGCTATATATAGTAGCTTAGTGCTACTGGGCTTTCTGGTGGTTATGTAAGCTGGTTTCGCAGTTACCTATCCAACCGGAAATCCCAGGTCCGTGTTTCTGGTGTTCTTTCCTCACCCTTTGAAGTTCCTCCGGTGTACCTCAGGGATCTGTCTTGGGACTCCTTCTCTTCAATGTGTTTATTAATGACATGTGTGAAGCAGTTGCCCATTCTAGGTGTCTGCTTTTTGCTGATGACGTCAAAATTGACCGAGCCATTAGTTCCCCTCATGACTGCTATCTACTTCAGTCTGACGTTAACTCCATACAAGGTTGGTGCATTGCTAACTGTATGAAACTCAACATCAGTAAAACTAAAGTTATATCCTTCTCCAGGAAAACCAACTTATTTATCTATGATCATAAACTTTTTCAAACGTCAATAGCCCGGACCGATTCTCTAAAAGACCTGGGAGTGTTTATTGATGCTAAGCTATATTTCCATGACNATATATATATATACTGTGACGCATATGGCCATTGCTAGGCAGTGGCTCGGTAAAAACATCGCCGAAGTTATGTTCTCAACAATAGAAGGACATCCATTGCTGGGTAACAGACCAATAAACACGCATTATTGAAGACAGAAGAGGTATTTTCTATGTGGTCTACTCCGAGATTGTTTGCTAGGCAACTGCGTGG